TTCTTCCCCAGCTGTAAATGGAGATTCAATTTGGCAAGGCACCTCGTAGCTTGCAAACAATATTGTCCCATTTCGCGTGGCAATTTTTGTTTCCCCTCCAATTGTAGACGCGATATTGGTATATGTGGAGTTCACCCTCTCGGCCTTTAATAACTAACATTGCATGAGATATTGTGGACTAGCCAGGACAATATAGCTGAACTTGGAGCGTAATGCGAGGGGTCCCCATGAGTGAGTTATCCTTGTACAGTATTGCCTGCCACGCCTACCATAATACTTCCCCATAAAAAGAAGAGATGGGGCGGATATACGATGACGTTTATCGTATCGTAAATTCAGTAGTTTACTCGTGTGACTAGTTACAGAAGCGAGGAGCAGGAGGACAAGAAGGAGGGAGGCTGGTCTTATGATCGCTATTACCCCGTCCGTGCCAGTAGTACATCGTATTTTGACGTATACATCCTCCCAAGATCAAAAACCGTTCTACTTAAGATCATGACGGCTCACAAAATTGGCGTGATGTTCCGCTTTTCAATTAGTGGGTCCTCGGCTAAGGAAGGTTAGAGTAATTTAGTACATCAGTTTAGTGACGTTCTGAACGCTCGAGAGGATGGGCAGCGCTATTTGGAAATAAACCAGGATTCTTAAAATTTGTTCGGTCTAACCACTTGTTCCTAACCAGGACGTCCCAAGTGGTAGGACACCATTCCTATCCTCCGTGTTATTCCAAATCTTCACCGTCATATCCCTTCCAAGTGATCCATAGTTGTAATGACTTAGCGCTTTCTCCTGATTAATGCGTTGCTCGTAGACCATGGCACTCACTGTAGAATGTAAAAAAAAATCTTCGAGGTGAGCCAATATTTGATTTGCTCAAAAATAATTGCAATCCATTAAATGTTAGGCAGACATCGAGTAGACAAGCAAGTAGCACGGGCTATGGTGAGCCCGTAGCTGACCTGGGACAGGAGCGGGGCAAGTAGCACGGGCTATGGTGAGCCCGTAGCTGACCTGGGACAGGAGCGGGGCAAGTAGCACGGGCTATGGTGAGCCCGTAGCTGACCTGGGACAGGAGCGGGGCAAGTAGCACGGGCTATGGTGAGCCGTAACTTACCTGGCACAGGAGCGGGGCAAGTAGCACGGGCTATGGTGAGCCCGTAACTTACCTGGCACAGGAGCGGGGCAAGTAGCACGGGCTATGGTGAGCCCGTAACTTACCTGGCACAGGAGCGGGGCAAGTAGCACGGGCTATGGTGAGCCCGTAACTTACCTGGGACAGGAGCGGGGCAAGTAGCACGGGCTATGGTGAGCCCGTAACTTACCTGGGACAGGAGCGGGGCAAGTAGCACATGAGCCCGTAGCTGACCTGGCACAGGAGCGGGGCAAGTAGCACGGGCTATGATGAGCCCGTAGCTGACCTGGCACAGGAGCGGGGCTGTAACTGTCCCGGTGGAGTGTCTCGGCAGCTCCGAGTCCTAATGGGACGTGTTTACACTTCACTCTGGGGCTCAGGCAGCGAGTGCTTGGCTTAGTCTACCTCTCCGTACACCACACAAGAGACATAAATAAAAACGCATTTCCCACATTTTCATGTTTATTTTTATTTATAGGAGTCGACGACGTCTGACAAAGGCTCGAAGCTTGCATCTGCAATACCCAACCACTTGAGCTGAAGTCATGTAGGTCAGAGTTCAATCCCCGACCGTCCAAGAGGTTAGGCCCCATTCCTTCCCCCCCCGTCCTATCCCAAATCCTTATCCTGACCATGGTAAGGCTAATCCTACTAGTTTTCCCTGGAACATAACCCACCAATTGGTTAACAACCAGCAATAGGTCTCCAATTACTGCTGGGTAAACAGGGGCGAGAAGTTAAGGATTGGCGCCCAGTCAATACTCCATGGGCAGGACTCGAACTCATACGAAATCGCTTGCGAAACGCGAGGCGAATGGGCTACCACTACGCCACAAGATACGTGTTACTATGTTTTAGTCGTAATGGTTTAGCGTTTTCTCCTGATAGTTCCCTTCCCTTCTGTTATATACTTGACTATTGTGTTGACGATTGTGTTGAATAATCGAAGATTGTGTTGAATTATAAAGATTGTGTTGAATAATAAAGATTGTGTTGAATTATAAAGATTGTGTTGAATAATCAAACTGAAGATGGAGACATGCAGCTTTATTGCTCTTAATGTTGTCAACATCACTAAAAACTAAACTTAAAAGACATTTATTGATCTTCGTCTTACATTAATATTAGTTAAAACAATATTGATTACTATATATTGTGATTGTTAGAATTATAAAATGTTTATATTAATAATTATACAATATAATCATTCTAAAATTTATATTTACATTAAAAATTATTTAATTGAAATACTGTTAATATAACATTATAATAATATTAATAACATTATTAACTTTTTCAAATATAATATATACGAAATTTTTTAAAATTACAAAAATACTAAAAATCTATCTTTTTAATAAATAAATAACTTTTAAATTATAAATACAATTAATAATTTGAAAATATTAGAATATTTAAGATTCTAAAACTATAGTAATAAAACTTTAAGTTACAACAAATTTTATTAGAAAAAAATATAAAAATATATATAATATAAAAATCACAGTAATATCAATAAACACCAAATAATATAAATAATCAGAAAATTATAATGATATTATAATTTTTGATATTAATATTAATAATTATAACTAATTTTTATTATATTATATTCATAATTTTTTAATAATAATTAATTTGATATATCAATATTTCAGCCCTTGTTCAGGTTTTTTTTAGTTCATTAAGGAAATAAGAACATTTAGTTCATTTTGGCACAATTTAGATAATATATTTATGTACTAAGCCTAGTATGTTAACAAAAAGGAGGCCTGGTCGAGGACCGGGCCGCAAGGACGCTAAGCCCCGAAATCATCTCAAGATAACCTCAAGATAGTGATTGTGTTGAGGTCACTCCTCCTTGAATCACCTTGATACTTACCTAGGCTTATTTAGGCTTATTAAGGTTCTATTAATAGTCTTTTGGTAAGACGGCAAGGGAAGATAAGGTATTTATCAGGAGAAAGCACTAAGCCATTAGGACTACAGTATATAGTACACTACTTGGAAGGGATAAGGGGGATAAGGATATAGAATAGGACAGGGAACCTTTGTCCTAAACAGAGATTATTTTCAAGTTATAGCTGTACTGTATTTGAAATTCGGGTTTTACAATGAATCATGATTCTCGTATATACGTTTTCTTTAATAGGCAAAAGCGAGAACGTTTTCTGTAATGTAAAAATGTGAAATCCGGGTTTTACAATGAATCATGTTTCTCGTATACACGTTTTCTTTAATAAGCTAGAGCGAGAACGTTTTCTGTAATGTAAAATTTCTTGGGATACTCAAGCAGGCCAGAATTTCACGTTTTTCACATTTTTAATGACGCCGTTCACTGGCAAAACACCTTACACAACTGTTGCTAACCTTAACCTAATTTTAACGTAACCTTAAGGAATCCAAGGCTAAACAGTACATTAAAGCACTAATTACAGTACTATCAATACGGAGCGAAAAATATACTAGATGTGGTGACTACACGCTGGTATTTACTCCTTGAGAACGGTATATATATATATTATATATATATATATATATATATATATATATATATATATATATATATATATATATATTATATATGTTAATGCTATGTAAGACTAGTACTCTAGATAATACTATGTATGGCCAGTACTATGTATAGTTACTGCTATGTATGGCTATCTTGAGATGATTTCGGGGCTTTTTAGTGTCCCCGCGGCCCGGTCCTCGACCAGGCCTCCACCCCCAGGAAGCAGCCCGTGACAGCTGACTAACACCCAGGTACCTATTTACTGCTAGGTAACAGGGTCATAGGGTGAAAGAAACTCTGCCCATTGTTTCTCGCCGGCGCCTGGGATCGAACCCAGGAGCACAGGATCACAAGTCCAGCGTGCTGTCCGCTCGGCCGACCGGCTCCCCCCTGGCTAAGGCATTATATGGCTAGAACTATATATAGCTAATACTATGCATGGTTACATACTATAAATATAGATATACATACTATGTATACCTAATACTAAGTATGATTAATACTATGAATGGCTAGTACTATGTATTGTTAATATTATATATGGTTAGTAGTATGTATTGGTAATAATATATATATATACACGACTTATGCTGTGTATGGTTAATGCTGAATATTGGTATATAACTCTTGTAACGTGCAAACAAATAATAATAATAATTATAATTATAATGAATTATAATTAAAATCTGAACACCAATAAATATGTATAAATACTCAAAAACAAATTTAATTTATTACTGCTGCCGATACCAAATGATAACGAGGGTAATTATTGTAGTGTAATTGTTGTGTTGAAGCCGCCCACTCTGACTCATCGTTAGGTGTTAACTACGCGGATGCCAGCGATGGCCCTGGTGCCAACCCCCCTCCTGGGAGCCAGCGACGGCCCATTCCCCCCCCCCTCCCCTCCTCATTCCCCCACCGACACTCACACACCAATCAGGTGCCAACAGTCGCTCTCGTAAGCAGCTCTGATGGGCAGACGAGGAGTCACAATAACGTGGCTGAAGTATGTTGACCAGACCACACATTAGCAAATGAAGGGACGACGACGTTTCGGTCCGTCCTGGACCATTCTCAATCGACTTGAGAATGGTCCAGGACGGACCGAAACGTCGTCGTCCCTTGCAGGCGATGAGTCACAATAACGTGGCTAAAGTATGTTGACCAGACCACACACTAGAAGGTGAAGGTGAAGAAGGTGAAGTCGTTCACAATCGACTTGAAAATGGTCCAGGACGGACCGAAACGTCGTCGTCCCTTCATTTTCTAGTGTGTAGTCTGGTCAACAGCTCTGACGGGGTCCATGTCAACTCACCCAGTCCCCCCATCCCTGTCCGAACTACCACTCACCAGTCAGGTGGCGACAGTCGACCTCATGGGCAGCAGCGAGGGTCCTGGCCAGCTTGTTGCCGTGGGGGTCCACACACCAGCAGATGAGCCCGTTCCTGGAGCACTGACGGGGCTGGTAGAGGCCGCTGTGCTCTTGACACTGAGGCACGTAGCCCTTCCCTTCCCGCTCCGTCACCAGCAGCAGCTCCGCGATCATCCGCTGTTGCAGGCAGGCTGTGACAGACACGGGAGTGGGCGTGAGTCGGGGGAGATTGGTCAGGTCAGGATGGAATGGGAGGTTGAGGGCTTGTACGTGGAGAACGATTAGTGAACGGAATGGAAAAGTGGATAGAATGAGGTGAATAGAGGTAGCGGAGTAGATGTAATAAGGTAGATTGGGTACCAGGAGAAAGTAGATATAATGAAGTAGACTGGGTAAGAAGAGCGAGTAGAATAAATATAATGATATGATTGGGTAGAGTACAGTGAATGCCACATGTAACAAATATATTAATGTACGTGCGTGACTCAAGTCCTTATATCCAAATTAATTTAAAAATAATTTGACTGATTTGGAACTCTTCTAGTCCATGTTAAGACTCACCTGTGCCAGGCCTACCTGGTCCACTCGCAGACAAGTCTGTGGAAAACTTATGATCCAAATACAGACGCTTGCCAGCCTTTGTTAGGCCTAAGGTTTATGAAAAGACACTCACCTTTGCTGGGACTATGGTCCTTAAGGACACTCACGAACCTATAGTATGCCAATGATCCATGCAGACACTCATTTTTATTAGGCCTATGGCCCCATGTAGTAAGGCTCAGTTTTCTATGCCTATGACATAGAAACCAATCAATAACTAGTAATCAATAAATTATTGATTACTGCAATAATCAATAACTAATAATAATAGTAATATTACGGTAGTTATTTCGTATTTAGCAACTAGTAGTAGTAGTAGTAATAGGCATCCATCAGTCTCAGGAGACTATGGCGTTGCTCTCTGGTTGTCGGTCTGGAGTGGCCTCTCCAGGGAGCAAAGCCAGAGTAGGTTGATACGGGGGAGATGCTGTCACCCATGCAGCAGGTTCCCCCTCTCTCCACGGTGCCGAAAGTCTTCAATGGAAAGGCAAACACAATACGATTGGTTCCAGTGCCGTCGCAGGAACTGTGAGCTCCGGAGTTGACCTCGAAGTTGGTGAAAGAAGGCACAGGGGACTCCAAACCCGGAGACCGCCGTGGTCGAGGTCGGAGAAGAACCCACCCCAGCAAGGGCAAGAACGACCCCAGCCTCCTGAAGCAGAGCCTAGACATGCTTTATGTCTATAAAACAGAGGCACCATTCCTCGCCTCACTGCTTCGAGACTTCGACCACTGACTTCCCATCAAAGCGGCTAATTCACAGCCCTGGAATGCTGCGCCTCTGGATCAACCACACCATACTGGCGGGATACTGTGGCGTCACCTTCTCAAGCGCGCGAGTGTGAGTCTGCAGATAACCGCTTACCTTCACGCAACAAGCGTAAACCGCCCTAACATTCTTGGTTGCGGACTCGCGACCTGGAAGGTGGAAACTTCCTCGCGGCCACCAAAGAAGTGACAACCTCCTCATCCTGTTAATGTTGTTTTAGATTCAGCTACTGGGAACAAAAAGTTGTAAGTAGCACGGGCTATGGTGAGCCCGTAGTTATCCCTGGCGTCCAGTTATCTAGAGCACTGTACACTTTGCCTCCACCTGTACGTCATTAGTTGAAAGAGGTGAAGCTATTGTACCTTAAATTTGCTGGATACCATTTTAAAGCGATTGCCGCGCATTTAAAACGCTTTTTAATTTGTTTAAGTGATCGTATGTTACGGGAGCCAGACTCGTGCCCATGCCAATACCAGAATTTTGCATTACACTTTTTCACATTACTATTATTATCAATAATAATAATAATACTAATAATAATAATAATAATAATGCTAATAATAATAATAATGATAATAATAATAATTTATTATTATTATTATTGTTGTTGTTGTTGCAATAAATGTAGTTATGAATAATAAATTTAAGAGCAAATGTATTTGATTTGATGTTGCGTTTAATTAAGCAGGCCTTCCAAATTTTGTGGAGGCTGGTGGGGCTCACTTAAGCAAATCTAAATCTAAAACATCACCTAAAAACATCTGTTGAATCTAAAACAAAACAGGGGCTCACCTATGTGGCTAGGGACTCACCTGGCAGACCTGGGACTAGACTATGAGGCAGGGGACTCACCTTTAGGGGTGGGGGCTCTACTATGAGGCAGGGGACTCACCTTTAGGGGTGAGGGCTGAACTATGAGGCCGGGGACTGACCTGTAAGGTTGACGGGCTGGACGCAGTGCTGGCCACAGATATCGGAGATGCAGCACTTCTGGGTAGAAGGGCACTGGAGGTCGTGGAGGCATGAGGCACCGCACCTCATCTCCTCCTCTTCCCCCCCGACCCCCACCAGGGAGTTCCCCCCCTCCATGGGGCACTGACCCGGCTTCTGCAGCTGCTCCACGGCTGCGCAGCACACGCCGTAGTCCTGACCTGGGGGGCATGGGGGGCATACCAGGTCACTCAAGGTCATAAAAGGTCAGGTTATGTGGTCAAGTGAGGTCAGGCCACACTGAATGCTAGTTCTGGGGTGGGGAAAGATAGGGTTGGTGGTAGTGTGGGGTGGAGTGGGTGGGTTTCTGTGTGTGTCTCTCTCTCTCTCTCTCTCTCTCTCTCTCTCTCTCTCTCTCTCTCTCTCTCTCTCTCTCTCTCTCTCTCTCTCTCTCTCTCTCTCTCAGCAGGGGTTCTAGTACAGCCTCAGGGACTGGCTGGCTGGAATATTTTCCCAATAATAAAATGGATAATTTGTCTGTGATGGATGACCAGACCTCAAATTCGCTACACTTTTAACACCCCGCCGCTGGTGGTGGTTGGGGAGAGAATGGGGAAGTGGGGAGCAAGAACAAGAGGGTGGCGGAGAGCGAAGGAAAAACAAAAGAAGGGAAGGGTTTGGAGATGGAATGCAATGAGACAGAAGGGAAAGATGCTGCTATATTTGGAGAGGAAAAGGAGGTACAGATGGGGGGAAGATATGTTGAGGAGAAGATAGAGAGGGGAGGAGGGGACAGGTGTGGGGGGGGGACAGGTGTGGAAGGGACAGGTGTGGGGGGAAGATGTATTAGTAGAGGGAAGGGGGGGGGTTGGGTTGAAGTAGTGGGGAAGAGAGAGGGAGAGAAGAGAGAGGGATGCTGGAGGAGGCTGTTGAAGTGGAGGTGATGGATGTAGTGTAAAATAATTCGAGAGGTCTCGATTCCCGAATTTCACTTCCTCTCACTTTTATAACCTGTGTGTGTGTGTGTGTGTGTGTGTGTGTGTGTGTGTGTGTGTGTGTGTGTGTGTGTACGTCTATACCTGTGTACATGTATTTGTATGGCCCTCTGTCAGCTTTATACATAAGGCTAAATGCATGAAACTCACGCCCAGGCCCCACACCACACAGTCGACACGAGACAGCTGAGTGCACTTACCTCTAGAGACCTGGCACTTGTAGAGGGTGGGGCACTGCGGCTTGCCGGGGTCAGTGCCACACAGGAAGGGTCGTTTCCGGGTCTCGTCCAGCATGAGTGGCTCTCCCATCGGGCACAGTGTCGACAGACTACGAGGCTGCTTACCTGTGACAGTGCCAGATATGTCAGTGATTGCTGAAACACTCACACACACACACAAGTTGATTGACAGTTGAGAGGCGGAACCAAAGAGCCAAAGCTCAACCCCCGCAAGCGCAACTAGCTGAGTACACACACGTATTCACAGAGAAATATACTCACATATACATACGCTCACTGATAAACAGGCTCAAAGATACACAGACATACACACCGACATACAAATACGCTGACTCACTTATCCACAGACGAAAACACTCACAGAATCGCAGATACACATACCCAAAACTTCACAGACTTAGATACTCATCGGGGCACTCAAAAATTCTCAGAAAAACACACACATATAGAAGTTACACGAACCCCTGGAATCGTGTTTCACGAAGTTCGAATCGTTCTCGTTCGTTCATATCTACGAATCCGCATTCTGTACACATTTACCATATTTTCTGCTTGAAATCTCCGATTCGTAGCTCTTAGATACGAATAGAGATATACGAAGATGTTTTAGTTGGGATCTCAGACAAAATACTTCCCCTTACGGCGGCCAAGCTGAGAAATATATCCTTTTCAATAAGCTTGCTGTACTCAATAAGAAGTATACTGCACTCATTAAGAAGAATACTGAACTCAATGAATAGTATTCTGCACTATGTAACCAGTATACTACATTCAATAAGAAGTATACACATTCAATAAGAAGTATACACATTC